CAGAAAGTAATAAAATATTATGAAATGAAATTTTCCACAATATATATTGAATTACAATAAAAATGATTAAATTCAAAATAATTTGAAAATATTAAAATACTAGCTATTGAATTTTGAAAATTTACATTATCATTAAAAAATTTAGCATTGAACTTTGAAAGTTTTTGATAATGAAATAATATGTATCAAAATTTAACCATTAAATTTTGATTTTGAAGGGTTGCGACACAATTAATAACCTTCGAAATCTAACATTGTGATATAATTTCGAAAGTTTTTAAATTAATATAATTACTGATATAAAGATATAAAGTTTTAAAAGTTTTTATTAAGATTTTTTTTAATTTTATTATTATCTATTTATACAATATTAATTAATCAATTTTCAAAAAACTCAAGTTCTTTGGTTGTATCATTATCATATGAATTTTCAGGGAATCATATCATTGTTTTTTTTTTCTATTAGGATGATAATAAATGTAGGCATCCAAATTTTCATAACATAAACAATAAATGTATAAAGGTTTTTCAATATCATTAAAAACCTGTTGACAAAAAGGTAAATATGATTTTAATATCTTACATGTATATTGTTTGATACATGGTACTTGAATGTTTTGCTTATTTAAATATTAAAAATATACATTACAATTTATATTTTGAGAAAAAAAATTGATATATTTATTATACGAAATATATCTATATTATTAAATAACTCCTTTTTTAAAATCCTTTAATTGTTTGTTTTGTTTATATAAATATTTGTTGTCAAATTGAAAATGAGAGTTACACACTTCTAATTTCAACAAAATACTATTAACTTTTTTAACAACATTTTTGTTAATCTGTCATGTTCCAAATAAATTATACAATTGTCTTAATTTTTTTGTTTCATTGCATCATTGTATTTTTCCTTTAATAAAATCAATAATTATACATGATGTAAATTTTAAATGATCTATAATTTTCTCTTCAAGTTCTTAATCAAAAATCTTATTATTTTCTTGATCGAATATTTCATTTTTAAAATCTTCAAAATCTTCAAAATTTATATTACTTATACTACTAGTATCACTAGTATCATTATCAGTTCAAGTTAATATTTCATTAAACAATTCTCTTTCCTGTCTGTTACTATTTATTTCGTTATAATTTTATTAAAAGTAGAGTGGAATTGGAAACAGAGATACAAGTCATGACAACTTCTTTCATCTGTGCAAAGACAAAAATATTCTTATTATTTCACAAATTATAGTGTCACAAACTATAGTGAAACAATAACTTTCATATTAAAATATATTAAAAGTTTGGTAATTTTTTATTTCATAAAAATAAATTTCTAATAAAAGTTACTCAATTTTTATTTGCTAATAATAAAAATTAATATACTATTACTTAGAAATAGAACCAAGTCACGTGTAAAATTTTAGTATACAACATTATTATGTAAAATATTTTTTAACTTTAAAAAAATTAAATTTATAAAAGTGATCGACATAGATGTCGATCCTCTAATTAAAAATGACCATTGATTGCTATTTTATCATTATTATTAAACAAATTTTTTATTATTATTATGAAGAACTTGGAGAACTTAACATTATGAATCCACTTATTCTTTTAAATTCTCTTTTACCTCTTGAAAGTAATTCTTTAATTTTTTCCTAAAAAAATTTTTTTCATAGTATTAGTAACAATTTTCAATTTTGTAATTTTTGTATTAATAAATATTTTAATATTTTTTTTTTACTTACAGTATCCGTTTCTGTTTTATAAATTTCAAATTCTTGTCTAATCCAATTTCTTAATTCTTGTTTATCATTTTTATTATGAATTACTATTAAATTCAATCAATTAATCAACAAATATATCTTTTTTAAAAGATAACAAAAATGATTAAAACCTTACATTTTGTAGTTGTCATCATTTCTTTATAAAGATTTATAACTTGAGCTTTAATAATAAACTGAAATCAAAAATCAAATAATCATTATATATGTAATAATGACTGTAGTAATATGAATAATAATGCTATAATAAAGTATAACGAGATACCTGTTTAAGAGTGGGACCCGAAGTAAAAGTGGCATAATTTTTAGGTTTAGTTATTCGTGTACTTACCAAAAACATAGAAGGAAGGATAATCATTATTTTGTATTATTAAATTAATGAAGATCAAAATTTATAAATAAATAAATGGGTTGGTCACATGGAATGTAAATAATAATTTTTTATTATACTGATATAGAAGAATATAGAGAATATATGAATAAATGATTATTATAATTATTTTTTATTTGTATTGTGAATTCCTTTTCATTTTCATTGAAATTTGATTAACTAGATTAGGTAATATGTGATATACATGTATATCTACAAACATTCTACAGAACTATAAAACTAAAAACTAAAAACTATAAATATAAAGTATAAACCTTAAAATTAGTAAAATATAAATATATATATATTTAATTAAGTTATAATCTTCTTTTCTCAATTAATATAAATAATTTAAATAAACTCTATTATTACATCAAAATTTCGTTATGACAACTTGTCTTTAATTCTTTATGTGGTAGTACGATACAGTTGCGAATGATAATTTCATCTTTGACTGAAACTCCTTTAGCTATAAAATATTAATTGTTATAATTGTTATTTAATTGTTAAATTAAAAAAAAAAATATCTCAATTAATTAATAAATATATATATATATATAGTTTTTACCGAGAATAGCAATCGATTGGATCTTAATTCCATTCTGCGTGATGGTTGTTGCATGGTTCGATGTTGGTGTTCCTTCAACACGCGTCCAATATCCAACTTTCGAATCCCAACCAATGATACTGTTTAAAACGCAACTATTATTTTTAATTTCTGCGTTATCCAGGATAATCGAATCCTTGATACGAACACCTTTTCCTATAATTGCACGATATCCAATGGTAACGTTAGGTCCAATCTAAGGGTATGTAAAAAAAATTATATGGAATTAAATAGAATTATATAAAATTACATATCAATATTTGCATATCTCACAAACCTTTGCGCTAGGATCAATAATTGCGCTAGGATGTTTATAGACACATCCAACTACCTCAGGTCCATTAGGTTCATTTTTTAATAACCGATCCTGATTGTTTTTTTTATATTGTGCAAGATATAATGCATTGGCCGGAACTGCCGATCTATATAGATTAATAATTTATAATAATTATTAATTTAATTATATTAATTTATTTTGATATGCAAGTTAAAAAAATAAATAAAAAAAAACTTCGAACCCTGCAGTCTTGATTTGCATCCAAAAATCCTCTGTTTCATATACATAAAGTTTTCTGGCATCTGCCAACGTGCGAAGTATATCCTGTTCCAATCGAAGTTTATCATCAAGTCCTTGAAATTGATCTTGACTGAATTAATTATTAAAAAATATCGAATTAAAAATTAAGGAAATATAAGTTGATGATGTACTGTTTCTATTTTATTTTATTTTATTTTATTTTATTTTATTTTATTTTATTTATTTTATTTTTTTTTCGTTAAGGATACTCGACTTGATTAGCTTTGTTATGCATTGCCTTTTTCATTTCATTGAATATAGCACAATCAAACAAGTAAATTCCACAACTAATTAAATCAGAAACAAAACTTTCGGGTTTCTCAACATAATGATATACTTCTCGACTGTCAGGTTTCGCTACAAGACAACCAAATTTATAGGCTTCTTCGCGATTGACCTAAAAATTAAATATATATGAAAATCAAAATCAATCAAGTTAATTCTCAAAAATTAATTCTTGGGGAATTAATATAAAAATTACTATTCTAATTAATTCCCAATGAAAAAAATATCTCACATCATTTACCTTTTTACCCAATATTGTACATAAGCCACGATGTGTATTATGAAATTTGATCATCTCATTTAATGGTAGACTACAAGCCACATCCGCGTTAAGTACAAAAACTTGCTCAGGATTTCCTCTTTGAATTTCATCACGAAAATGATATAGACCTCCTGCGGTTCCCAATGATTGATATTCACGAAGATAACTTAATAATTCATGAGCAGATTACGTAAATTACGTAAGTATAATGTAAAGTGTAATGAGCATTATTAGAATATTAAAATTTTTATTTACCGAATATTAATTTGAGGAAAATCACGAGAAGAATCTTCGATAAATCTTTCAAGAACCTTGTCTTCGTAAAATCCTATTAGTAACACTTCTTGTAATTCTTCGACTTTTGATAAGGCTTCTAAATGATGCCAGATGATTGGATGGCCAGCCACCGGAAACAGGGGCTTCGGAACATCTAAAGAAAGCGGACGAAAACGCGTACCACGAGAAGGACCACCAACTAAAATAACAGCTTTAAAAACCATTTCTTAAAAACGGTAAAATAAATGCTAAGTATAATTTTTACGAAACAATCGCATGTTTGTTGATAAAATGTACTAAAAAAATGTAGATGCCTAATTTGTCCAATTTGCGTTACCCATAACTTTCTGATTGTTGGCTGATATGATCCCGGACGACATTCATGGTATTACCAAGTAGTAATAATAAATCGGATATTAAAAAATGTAATATCAAATGTACACTTAATTTACATTAATTTAATTAAATAAAAAAATTTATATTTTTTGATTTATTAATTTTTTGCAAAAATGAATCAAATACAAATATTTAGAAATATTTATTCAGAACAATTTAATTCATAATAAATTTCTAGATTGTGTGATACAATCTAATTATTATTATAACAAGTCTTGATAATAATTTATTCGAATCTAGTTTGCTTTTTCGCATCACTTTTATTCATCCATGATGCAAAATCAATATCGACCAATTCACCTTCTTCTGGTCTATCAAGATCCGTATGAGGTCGACCATATTCCCATTCACGCTCTCTATCTCGTTCTCTACCACCACCAACACCACCACCACCACCACCACCACCACCACTACCACCACTACCACTACCACGATCCCAATCACGATTACCACCACTTCCACCTCCGCTTCCTCCTCTAATAGAACGCCGTGACTGCTGTGACTGTTGTTGTCCACCGCTGCCGCCACGTCTGTTATCTTGATTTCGACTTCCTCCTCTCATTGAATCTCTATCCTGTTGATCATACCAACTATCACGTCTTTGATATGACATTTTACGTTTCAATGGACGTTGTTGTTGTCGTTGTGATTCACCACTACTTGATTGAGTTGACTGAGTTGATTGATGTTGATTATTTTGATATTGTGTTTGCGATCGCCAATGTTGAGTTCGAGATGGGTGTTGTTCGGTACTACCTATCATCTCTTCTTCTTCTTCCTTGATTTTGATTTTAGAATCCTCCTCTTGTTTGATTTCCGAAATAGTAGTAGATGATTGAGACATTTCTTGTTGCCCATATTCAATTTTCAGAGGTTGAGATTGAGGTTCAACAATAGGTTGAAAATTTACTGGATCGACGGGTACACGATTTTTTGACATTGGTATCTAATAAAGGTAAAATAATGAATAATATTAATAATTTTTTACGATCCATTTATGCAAAAGAAATTTAATGGTAATTTATAAACCATCAAAAATCCAATTAGCTTTCAATTTAACGTTCAATTAACGCCCTTTGAAAGAATTAAAGTCAAAAATTTGGAAAAGGCTTCTAACTGCAGTATAATATAGTTTAAACCCAGAAGAACAAATTTATTTTTAAACTTGTCATTAAAATCACGTTAATAACATGGTCTCATTTTATAAAAAGAAAAACACTTACATATTTATTATCAGTTTGAACCCACAAGAAACTTGATAAATTAGGAAATTCATTTTCAACATAGGTTAAAACATCCCTTTTTGAAATTATATAAAAACAAATTTTTCATTTTGATTAAATTATAATGATTACAATAATAAATGTTTTTGATAATAATTCTAATATTTTAATATTTACCAATCAACAACTTTTATCTTTCCAAAGTTACTATTTACAGTAAGTTCAAATGTATCTTCATGAATTCTGGTTTCACTGTATAAAAAATAATAGAAAAGAAATTTATCAAAAATTCCCAATAAAATAAATATCAAAGTCAAATTATTATTATTATTATTATTATTATTATTATTATTATTATTATTAAAATTATTATTATTGTTGTTATTATTATTTACCCTTGATTAATTTGCACGATATCCCCGCTTTTAAAATATTGACCATTCTCCCAAATGACCAAAGTACATAATGCAGTTTCGTCCGCAACAAGAAAACTATGCAATTCAACTTCTGTCACAGTTTTTAATGAGCGATGAGAAACTAAAAAAAAAAAAGAGAACGAGAGAAAGAGAAAAGAGAGAAAAAAAGTCAGGATTTTAAAGAGAGCAATTTTTTTCAGGAATAGTGTAAAAAATAATAAAATAAAAATAAAGACTTACGCTTATTTTACTTACGGTGTTGTAAAATGATACACTTTAGATCGAAACCACGAATCCATGGTTTTAGATCTTTTATTTTTATCTCACCAGTTCGTTGTAATGGGATAGGTTTAAGAAGTAGTGATGCGGAAGTAAATCTTTGTGGTGGTGCCGGCGTCGAAGAAGACATTATTCATGGTGAGAGCATACATTATCAGGATTTAACAAAATATTACTATATCCGATAATGAACATTATATGCTTATGTAATAATATTAACCAATTTTGTTATAATTTTATCTAATACGCGAATAATGCAATTAAGTTAGATTGATTTATAATAATTGTAGTAGAATTAGCATAAATTGTAATAAATTATACTATATATATAAAGATTTCTTTTCACCTCTTCAACTTTTATTAATTTTCTTTATATATATGTATATGTAATTGATTAGTTTTTAAACTATTGTTATTTTTTAATCTTTCTTCAAAATATATCATGAACAGAAGTAATAACAAATTGGAAATAATATTTTATGTTATTTTCACTGTTCTGTTGTCATTCAGATATATAGTGAGGCTCCATGTGAGCCTGAAGAGCTAAGTTAAACCTGGTATTCTAAACTTATGGCTTGCAAATTTGCAAATCAAATCCAAGCCTTTGCACAGGTCAAATGAGAAAAACAGGTATTTTTTCTGAATATTTGCAAACAATTTGTAGATTATTCACAATAGCTTTGTTTGATCATTTGATATGTGATCTCATCATAGAGATGTAATTACACTTCATTCACTTATTTATTCATATTAGGTTTTAAAAATATTTTTGTTATGTTAATAAATACTAATAGATGAGAGATATATATGGTTACAGGTTATATTTAGAACAATTTATTGTACAATCATTGATACTTAGGTATATACAAAGACTTATTAATAGTCAGAATATAGAATCTTTAATTTATATAGTAGATTATGTAGAATATGTTTATTTTATAAATAAATTCTTTATATATTTTTTTCACTATATAAATTATAATATTTATTATCAAAATATATTACATTTGTCTTATTTCCAGAAAATCAGAATTAAAACTTGAAAGAATAAATGTAATTATGATATTACCTTGATTTCTAATAAATTTTTTGAGCTAAAGAAATTGGTAACTTGAAATATTGATAATATAGATGACATGATTTTTGAATTAGACAAATTGAAAACTTAAGATTTGGACTTAGTTATTTTGATTTCTGATATTTTTCAAGTCAGAAATTAATAACTTGACTAAATACTTATTTTATCTTTGTTGAATCAACAAAATTAGAAGCTTGAGATTTAATTAATATCACTAGTCAAATATAAAAGAATCACTGTATCAAATGGTAATTCCTATATTATAGATTAGTTAAAATCTAGTAAAATCAGTAAAAATCAACTGTCCTATTGTATCCTATATTATAAATCAGCTAAAATCAGCATTCCTTTTTGATATGACAATTCTTTATATTTGACCTGTGTATACTTAAAGAATACTCTATAATAGTTTGAATTTTACTATTTTTAATATACTTAATTTTATTTTCTTCTATTTTTTCAATATTTTTATAACCTTTTAAATTTTTTCTTATAAATATTTATAAAAAATTATAAGTCCATTATTTCTTCTAATTTTTTTTATAAAGAATAGCAAAATATTTTAATATTTTATTATATATTATATTTTTTACTTTTTCTTGTTAATTTGGTTTTTATTATTTTTTATAATCTCATCATTTAAATTAAAAGACACCTATTATAATACAAAAAAAAAATTTTAACAATAGACTTTATTGTTAAAATTTTTTTTTTGTATTGTAGTAGGTATTATTAATCTGAATTATACTTACATACAAAATAATCTATTATAGTAAGTCAAAATATTTTGAATTCAAAAATTAAACCAGTTTTTATAGAAGACAAAATTTATAATTACTCAGATAAATTTTTTGATTAAAAATATATACATTAAATAAATATTTCAAAAATTCTAAAAAGACAAAATACTTCAAAAATCAAAAATTAATTTTGAAAACATGTATAATTTGAATTAAGAATTTTTTTTTTATAATACATTAGTAAATTTTAATAGGTAAAAATTTTCAAAAATTTACACCATATTAAATTTCTGTAATATTACGGGACCTACAAAAATTTATGGAATTCTGATGGAATTTTGACATTGATATAAATTTACAGAATTTTACATTGATATAAATTTATGGAATTTTGCATTGACGTAAATTTACAAAATTTTACATTGATGTAAATTTACGAAATTTTGCATTAATATAAATTTACAAAATTTTACATTGATATAAATTTACGGAATTTTATATTGATGTAAATTTACGGAATTTTAATGTTAATATAAATTTTTTATAATAAAATTTTAAAAATTTCAATATAATAAATAGATTTTCTAATAGACAAAAATCTTTAACAGTATCAAAAAAATTTTTTAGACATAA